CGGGCCAACCCCTCCACTCCCATGATCCCGCCCCAACAAGGCAAAACGGATCCGTCCGTCCTTTCGTTTTGTGTTTTTTTTTCGTCCGGCGGTATCCAACGCCAGCCGGGTCCGATCGCAACGATTCCTTTGTGCCTGGATGGTGCGTCCGTTTCCGTTTCCATTACCATTCGCTTGCTCGCTCGTTCGTTCGTTCGTTCGTTCCTTCGGGGCTCGGCTCGGCTCGACGCGCCACCTTGCCTGCCTACGCCGACTGCTGCTCCTGGCGGCACTTCTTCCAGCAGTTCAGGTCGAAAAAGGGGCACTGGTCGCACTCCCAGGGAAACTCCTTGGAGCGGATGGACATGTAGTCCGGGAGGGGTCCCTCGGGCCGGTGGTGGTGCTCCTCGATGGCCAAGTCCTTGGCGACCATCGCGAGGCAGCCGGGGATGCAGACGATGATGGAGATCCGGATCCAGGTCCAGAGCTCGGTCCACTCCTCGTCGTGGGACTTGTGGGGGTTGGCCGCCAGGACCTCCTTCTGGTAGGCGATCCGGGCCCGGATCTGCTCGATGGCCTCGGCCTGCATCTCGGCCTCCGTCCCGGCCTTGGGGACCGTCTGGACCCAGCGGGTGTTGGTGGTTGTGTTTGTGGTTCCTCTCGGGGGGGCCCTGGAGACAGAGAGCGAGAGCGCGCTTCTTCCGCCCGCAACGGTCCGGCGGACCGTTAGGCTCTTGGCGAGGCTTTTTGCCGCTGCGAGGGACTGCGTGGCGTGGCGATGGGATGGGATGTGTGTTTTTTTTTTGGGGTGTTGTGTTGTGTTGTGTTGTGTTTGGTGTTGTTGGGTTTGGTTCGGAATGGAATGGATTGTGCGTTGACAGAGGAAACAACAACCGCGAAATTTGGATTAGGGTTAGGCGTAATGCAACAGCACACCGCACTACAAAAACAACGGMAGACGGCGCGGCGGCGAACTYCCGATCATCGGTCGGTSGTCCGTGCCATGGCTCGCGTTTGCGGTYCTGTTCCGGCCTTGCAAAGGTGTATATCCTATCCTTCTGTTTGAAGTCTTATTTCSTCGGGGCGACGCTTGCTTACCATGGTTGTATTGATGCTGCCGATGGAACAGAGTCGTTCGAGAGTTGTCTTCGACTCGACACTGTGGGTTTTGTYGSTTGCTTGCTGGMACGCTACGGTACAGAGTACGAAAATACGGTGCAGTGCTTTTTTGCTYGGTGCCGTTTTCAATTCCATTCAATTCATTTGATAGTACGRTAC